ACTCGAAACATCTCTTCGCATGCCCGGCAAACCCGACATCCCTAACGACCTTGTCCTTATGGGCAAACCCCGCAGAAGCTGCACGCTTCCTAGGGTTGCCGTTAGTGGAACTTGACGACAACGACTGAGATACCAACCGATCTGGGCGGGGTTGTTGTAGCCGCTACAACAACAACAACAACAACAACACGACATTTTTACCAGTTACGGCTATTTTTTCGTTGTTTGTTTACTGTCTATTATTATTTTTTTTTTTTACAAAAAACAGCTTACTATCTAACAAAAACAATATATGTAAGTCCAAACTTCAAACTTTGTAGAAATCCGTTGTTTTTGGTACTAACCCATTCACATTTTTAGTGAAGGTTTATTTTAATTTATCCTACCAAAATCTGTGAAAAAAGCAGTTTCGAAAAAAAGTGTTGGTTAAGGCCTTTGTGCATTAAGGTGACGATATGTATTTTGTTGTTTTTACTCCGGTGCTATTAAATACCTATTCAATATGTCATAATTTTAGGACACGCCCAAGTAATCTGTTGACAACAGCTTCGCTTCTAACCTAACCATCCTCGGAGAAAGATTTGACTACTCATGATGTTTCAATTGGCATCGTAAATCTTTTAGCCTGACACATACATTGGGAATTTTAAAGAACGGAAAAAGAGTTAAATGATAAAACATTTATTCATATTTGCATATTTATATTTATTTGTAAAGTTTGAATGTAAGCAATATATTTAGACATATGCATTTGTATGCGACAAGATAAACCGCCGTTTAGAGACCTATTACTGTTATACGCTTTTCTCTTCCTATATAGATAGGACTCACAATCCGGGTATATGACAACAAGGCATCGATGTCCCTCATTTCTTTCCTACAATTTTCACAATTAATATTTATTAATTAAAATGTATGTACATTAGGGTAGTCCTTACATGTAGGAAACGAATTTTTTACATCAAATTTCTTAAACCCCAACCCCTACGTCGATGCTACTATAGTCGAAGATATCACATATAAATTTTGGCCCCGATTGGAGTCGGTTAAGGCGTGGCACAAAGGGGTCTAAGTTCAGATTACCCTATTAAGACGTCTTAACCGTCTCCAATCGGGACCGAAATTTATGTGATATCTGTGACCGTGGTATTGCCGATTGAGGGATGAGACTGAAAAAAGCGTTCATTTGATTTTTAAGGACCACCCTAATGTACATATATATATATCTGTGTTCATATGGAAAAGTAGCTTATGTCGAAGGGTTGGCTTTAGTATAATGCGGCATTCCTTTTATTCTTTAAACGACAAGGAATTTTTTGATGAGACTTAACAAGAATATTGACTTGCTAGTATCGGAACTATTTCTTGCACGTTTATTTTCTAAATGTTGTTCAACGGCTCAGCGCCATCGAATCATTCGGAATCGTATACTGCAAATGCCGATTTATATTAAAGTCAGCCTTTCGACATAAGCTACTTTTCCATACGAACACAGATATATATGTATATGAATACATATATATATATGAATACATATATATATATGAATCCATATATATATATATATATATATATGAATACATATGTACGTATATACATATATGTACATACACACATGTGTTTTTGAACTTTGTACGTACTGCCAATCCGAGCCATATTCCGTAAACATTAGGGGTATTCTCTGAGTCTTGCAAAGCCCTTGCATGGTGCACAGATTGCACGGATTGCACGGTAAAAACCGGTTTTCGTATGGGACAGCTTTGCAAACCGTGCAATCCGTGCACCGTGCAAGGGCTTTGCAAGACTCAGAGAATACCCCTATTGTGTAACCTCCTCCACCTTCAACGAGAAAATCTGGAGCTACGATGCGGTAGGTTTTCCTTGAATCAAAATCCTCGTAGGCTGGGATGTCACAATTTGCACAACGTACTTTAACATCAATTATTCTTTCACCTGGTGACTTACTGTAATCATAAGTAATTTTCAAGCCGGATACTTGCAAAAAGACATCAGAGCTAGTATAATTATTTTTTATGTCTATTGCCTGGACGCTGTATTCTAATGCTTCCAAGAGTTTATGTCCCGGCAAATTGAAGGCAGTAAGTACATTTTCGAATGGAGACATTGCTATGAGATGTGCATATGTTAGTGCTAAACCGCCAAAAGGAGAACTTTGTAAAAATCCTTAAGAAAATTACACTGAACATATATATACTTCCGGTTTTTAAGGGAACGCGCATTGCACCATTGTTTACAAGTCCAATTGAAACATTTGCCCATGGAGTATCCGAAAACGGTGTTAAACCCGCAAACTATGCACAAATACACGTATATGTATGTACATGTTAGTTGAATGAAAAAATGCAAATTCTTCGAAACTTACAGCATGTATCAAAGCGTCACAGAAATAATTTCCCAGATTGCACTCATCGTAGTCACATCTTAACATTTCCAAATCAACTTTAGATTCCCCAACAACAACGGAACCCTGTTCATCAACAACCTCCTTCCATGGAGGCAAAGCATCAATAACGTTGGAATCTGCGGTTTTGAATAAAATGATCAATAATAGACGTTTTAAAATAAAAAATCTGAACTGTCATCAAATTACAACTTAAGAAAGTTTTATTACGTCGCAGTTGAGAGGCAGTACATAGCTTGCATTTAGGCGCCTGGTGTTATCAATATCAATGGCATTTATTAATGAAAACGAAAACACTTACGCACAATTAATAATCACTTTTTAAGGATAAAATGGCAATACAAATATTTGACACTTTCTCACCGTTTAATTTTTAATTTGAGTAACCCTTGCCTCAAGGTCAAATTATGCTCAAATAATTGTACCTACACCAAACTTGTTCCGCAGAAAACACTCAATGCTTGTTGCGGTCCTCTTTTTTCAATGGTATTCCCCAAAATAACTTTGAATTTTGATCTCATTTTTATTTTAATTGAAAAGGCTTTATATCTTAGAGCTTCCACACGTTTTAAAAATGTAATTCAATTTTAATTTTAGGAATTTGGTAAGTGAATAAGGTATATGGGTGTTAGACAAAAGAGGTTGAAGAAGGTAACAGTATGGAAATATTTTGAATAGGATTGCCACATATTTGAGAGGTCGAATTGAATTATTTTATGCCCAAGTTATGTGAAATATTAAAAACGGATGTCAAACGAAAGTGTTTCAAGAAATGTTTGTTTGACAATTTTGAACATTTTTGATGTGTTTGAGGGTTGCCCCAGTTTGAAGGGTTAAATTTAAATTATTTAATAAGTTAAATAAATTACTAAACGATGGTTATCAATGGAAATGGTTTTAAAATCCTTTATTTCAGAACTGTATTTAGGAGGGTCGCCACGTGTTTAAAAAATAAATTTCCACTTAATTCATCAGTTACTTGAAATATTTATAACAATGTCAGACGAACAATATTTAAGGAAGTTGTAGTTCGAAAATAATTTTTAATTTTTTATTTTTTTGACGCCTGCTGAAAGTCGTATTTAGTTTAATTATAAATAAGTTACATGAAATTTTAAAATATGGGTATCCAACGAACGAGTGTTCAGAAGTCTTTAAATTGAACATTTAGAAATTGTTTAGGGTGCCAGAAAAGGGCTGCCATCTGTTGACAAAATTAAATTCAAATTATTTAATTAAATGGATTGTCAAAAGATGGGTATCAATTGAAATGGGTTTGAAAATAATTTATTTCTGAACTGTATTTAGCAGAGTTGCTAAGTATGTGCTTAAAAAATTAAATTCAACTATGTATAACAATGACAGACGATAAAAAGATTTTAGTTTGAAAATACTTGTAAAGAGGTTAAATGTTGGAGCTTTGACGCCATACGTGTTCACTAGTGCAATAATATTAAGCTTATAAGTTGGCTAGTCGATGCAAGTCAGTTAGCTGTAGCAGAGAAACATTTTTGTTTGTGCGATTTCGAGTACCTATTAGAAGTGTAGCGATGCGCTATTTTTTTTTTTTCCTGAAGAGAAGTTATTACTGGTAATTAAAAGATTATTTCATAATTTCTTAGATTTAATAAATTAATTTTATATAGCTCTGTAAGTTCAACGTGAAAAGTTAGGCTTGAAATTGTTTTATTTTAATATTTAAATAGGAAAAAACTTAATAGTTCCGCTGAGTTTCGACTCGAAATTCATAAAATCTTATTCTGTGAAGTGTTGGATTTAAGGTACAATATCCTCTTTTTACGCGCTTTTGCGACACCTATACAATTATTTTAATTTTTCAAAAACTCCAGATTTTTGAAACCTGACTGAGGATTTTTAATCAGTGGCCCCATAAACTACATACAAGTCCTTCAACGCCAATCTGTGCGATGTGAGAAATAAATAAAAGCTTGTTAAAAGCGACTAGAAAATAAATTCGAGTCAATACACATTTGAATTTCTGAGCGTATTGAAAGTTGGTTTATGCTTCCGTTTTAAAACAGATCGAACTGGATCATAGATTTTCTCGTCTTTCGCGAGTAATCTGTGAAACCTGTACTTGAAGCAGATATTTTTTACATCTGTTTTTATCATCATCAGTTTTTATCATAACAGTTTTGGACATGGTCGACTGCAGAAATGAGCTCAGTAAGCAGATGTTTGTCACACACTGTGTATTTCGTATAACTGATCTATATAAACAATAGTATATATTTTTTAAAGAAATCCATTTCATACGTCAGAAGACATTAAATTATCCGAAATAATTGCTCTTGCCTGGAAAGGAAATCTGCATTTAGGGGATTTTTTCGAGATACTTTAATTTATATTCGTATGTCTTCTAGTACAAGTTAAATGAAATGAAAATACTCGCATAATAGCCCCCCGTACCTTAGCTTTTTAAAATAAACATAGTTTGAATATATAAATAGAACAATTTTGAATTTTATCCATTTATATTTAAAAACCATTGCAATGATTGCAAATTATTATAAAAAAAAAATTGTATTTAGCTTTTGAGTAGGAAAAAAATACATACACATATGTATCTAAATAATATCGTAGATTCTTCAAAGTCCTGAGACCAAAATTCGCTTTTCTCTCCCAATATATATTGGACTTATGTTTCGGGTGAATGACACTAGTGCATCAATGTCCGTCATTTCTTTTCTGAAATTTTCAAAATAAATATGATTATTAGCGGCTTCATTATGAGTATGTAAGTACTATAAATATATTGTATGTGTTCCATTCTACGTACTGCCAATCCGATCCATGGTCCTTAAACACTGTGTACCCATCTCCCCCCCTCCGCAAGATAGCTTGGCGCCACGATGCGATAGATTTTTCTTGAATCGAAATCATCATAGACTGGAATTTTACAATTTGCACAAATCACTTTAATGCCAACAACTCTTTGACCAGGTGGTTTATTGTAATCATAGCTAATTTTCAAACCGGATACTTGCATGTAAACTGCTGAACTAGTTGAATTATTTTTTATATCTATCGTTTTTACACTATATTCAAACGCTTCTAAGAGCTTATGTCCCGGCAGATTGAAGGCAGTAAGTACATTTTCGAAAGGAGACATTGTAATTAGATGTCCATATGTTAGAGCTGCAAAGGCAATAGGAAAATTTCGTAAAAACCTTTAGATACACGGTGATCGAATACTTACTTCCTTTACTCAGAGGAACGCGTAAGGCACCGGTGTTTATCAGTCCAATAGAAACATTTGTCCATGGCATATCCGAAAAAGGAGTTAAAGCAGCAAACTATTCCCAAATACAGCTTGGTTGAATAAAAAAAAATATTTTAACAACTTACAGCATGTATCATTGCGTCACAGAAATAGTTTCCCAGATTACACTCCGAATCGCTACATGATGACATTTCCAGATCAACTTTCGTTTCCCCAACAATAACCGAACCCTTTTTGTCGATAATCTCTTTCCATGGACGCATAGCATCAACCACATCGGCGTCTGTGATTTTTTAAAACACGTTTTTATAATTTTATATTTTATAAAAATAAATACATATAAGCGTATGTCTATGTTAATTACCCGTTAGTTTGTTAGTCCAATAAGAAGCAAACCATTACACTTATAGTTTTAGTAAAATAGTGCACATGCATCCGTTATTTTATTTTATTTTTTTAATAAATATGAATATAATACCAAACGTAATTTTTAACTAATATTTGAATAATAACACGGTGTAACGAATTTTTTTTAGTAACCGGATAATCCAGATATTCTAATATCTGAATAAAAAGTCCGAATACCCGGATATCCGAATAGTGTATGATATCCGGATAATATGAATCTAAAAATTACAATAAAATAGAAACTGTTTGTGTATTAATGAAGTGTTCTATTATTTATTTTACAACTCGAGGTTCAGTACATTACATTAGCCGCCTTCTATTCGCCAATTCTCTGCTTGCTTGAGTTGCTAGCTTAACAAGAAAATGTGTATGTGAAAGCAACAACTAACACCCCTATTCTGCAACTCTTTCGTATTCGGATTTTGCTACGAAACGTAGAAATAGTATGCTGCATCCCGAATCGTATTTTTGAACTTTCGAAATTCGTAACAATGGCATGCTTAAAAACGAACGAGTAAGCTTTTTTGCGTAATTTTGTACGAAAACAATTCTGTGTCGGAGGCGAAATACGCGATGTGTGTTTGCAAGAAATATTGTTGGTGTTCATTTAAACAGATAAATTTGCCTTTCGCATATACGGAGTTATATTTTTATCCACTACTTTATATAAACGAGCAAAAAAGAATCTTTGTTGCCCCTTATTGAGAAACTTGGGCCCGGTTTAGTTATTTGTACAATGATTTTCGGTTGTTGTGTCCAAACGCATAACCCGAATCCAAAAACTTTAACATACACGTGTAATTAAAGGATTCACATTTTATTTAAGATATGTAAATGTTTCACATTTCCTATTTATTATTATTAAAAAACTCGGTTTGCACTATGCACTTTTTTGCAAATTTCGACGTGGGTTCTGCGCAAAAATACTGTGGACGGCGTAGCCGAAGTGATATGCACAAGAAATGTTGTATACCTTTGATATGCGGAAGCCCTTCTTCCCCGCAACACAGAAAGGAGAATTCTACTTAGTAAGGGTTAAAATCCCCAAGCGCGGTCAAAGGCAGAAACAATCGCAACAGGTGGTGGACTTAACAAAGTGCATGTTTTCAATGGCCTGGAAGAAGCTGTTATTGCATTAACTGGATTGAGAACCAGAGCTTCAGGCATAGGAGGAGTTCTGGCTTGTGGTTCCACAATTCAACCAGAAGCGACATCGAAGCGCCCATGGTTACTATGCCCGACAGCTCCGCATACCTTTGTGAATCCACTGCCATAGCGCTCTCTTACTCTGCTGCTATAATTGCAAATGCATCAGAATCCATGATTTTCCTCAAATATGTAAAATTAACCAATTATACAATAAACAAGCACATGATGAGTGTTTTTTAATTCCTTTCCACTTTGTTTTCCTTCATTCAGCTATCTTCGAAAAACAACTGATAGCTGGCAATGCTGCACATGTTTCCGCAAGGGTTGCAGCATGTGGATTTTTCGTATTTCGTAGCGTAGCTACGAATTATGAATTACGAAAGGGGGTGGGTTAGCTGGCGGCGATGAACATTGGCGAGTTTGGCTGTACCTCATTGGTTTCGTTCGTTTCGCCAATCACTAAGTGTTGAAGGGGGCTATTCAACGTCACACTAAATAAGAGCCTCGTACTATAGTTATACCCACATCAAATACTACAGTGATGCCATCTACGGGCAGAATAAGTAAAGAACCCAGCCAACATTCTTTATCGCGAAAGTCATTAAATTGATACGCAATATTCCATAGGAATGAAAGTTGCTTGTGTTAAAGAAGTGCTAAAAAAGATTTTTCGTAAATTTTAATATTTTATAAAACATAGTTAGGTTCGGGGTACCCATGATACAAAAAAAGAAGGTAGTTTCATTGTCATTTTTCGGGCGCCATATTAACTACCTGACAATTAAGCAGATTGTGACTTTTCGTTCTGCCATACCTAGTCCTCAATAATCATTTATTTATTGTAAAAAAATATATATATTTACAAAATTAAAAGGAAATTTGTCTTCGATATGCGCAATAAGGAACACTGAAATTCATGATATGATAAATATTATAGTTCTGGACGAGAGGAGGTACTCCCGATTGAACTGGCACTCAGAGTCTGGAAGTAAGTAGTGCGTTAAGTGCAGCTTGGCCGTCACGTAAACTCCTTCCGCTCCGTTATTTTCCACCACGTAGTCCATATCCTTGAGGATTGCAAATGCCTCAGCCTGGAAGACCGAAGCATACTTGCCAAGAGAAAAAACATGCAAATAGATTTTAACAATTTAGAATTTTTGTGAGAAGAAATGTAAAATATTTGACATTTTCGAGAACAAATAATTTGAAAAAAATTAAATCAGCTGCTATACTGATATTACCTGTTCAATGTGCCTTGGTTTAATTGTATTTTTGGAATAAACAAAGTTCTTTTTCCTTCTGTCAGTAAACTGTTTTTTTTTTACAAATAGTATAAATAAGCAATGGGAAATAAGGCAAAATTTGTTTTATTTCCAATCTTTGTTGGAAATAAAGCAAAACTCAGATTTTGGTATTATTTCCCATTTAAAAGTGAAAAAGCAAATTTTGCGTTATTGCCGTTTGTGTTATTTCACCCCCCCTCCAGCATCCGTTTCTTTTTAGTCTGCAGGTGGTCTTTAAGGCTTCCCCACCTATGAAGACACAAAGTGACGGTGAGTGCAGCAGTGCATCAAGAGCAACGCCACGTGTTGCAGAGAAATCTTTCGTACCGCACACGGCAGTAGTTCTTTGAAGTTTTGCAAGCAGACTTCCCACTGACGCATAGCTAATTATGGGTCTGATCATAGACGTATAAATCCAGAGGATTCCCTATGGTGGCACACTCCACGTTTTACCAAAGACCAGTTTACATTGCCAAAATGCTGCCCATTCTTTAGAGGTTTTGTGTTCCTCGTTAGATTTCCACGATAGTTTTGTATCCAGAGTTACTTATAGATACTTCACTTCCGGAGAATTCTAAATTGTGACTCCTTTCATTGTGAAGGCAATGAGACCATTCAACCTTCCCCGAATCCTGGTTTCGGACTATGCTTTAATGACGAAATATCTAACAATACATCTTCTTCGGACTATTTAACAAGAAAAAAAGAGTTTTGTTATGTAAATTTATTTATTTTGTTTAAAATAAAATGAAAAACAGCTTTTTAACAAATAAATGTTTCAAAACTAGATTTTGTTTTATTTCTTCATCTCTGCACATCGATAAAGGGTGAACACATCAAAACTGCGACACTTTGGGAAGCTTATAACTTACCCAAAAAGATTTCAATATTTTGAAATTCAAATACCATAAGTTGACTATGACCTTAGTTGGACGTAGAAGAAATTTCATTTGAATTTGATTCCTAGTTGAGCTAAAAATGGCAACCGAGTTAGAACCGAGACAAACCATTTTGCACGAGTTTATAAATGATCCGTCCTTAAGTACACGTAAAATTGCTAAAAACTTAAGATTGCACTATTCGACAGTTTGCAGGGTTTTAATCGGTACAAATAAGGCCTGGCAGTTACGAGAAAACCAGGGAGCGGGGGTTAGCATGGTCAAAGTGATAAAAACAGTGCTCGCAAGGTCCTCAGTGCGTTTTCGCGAGATCCGAAGGTTTTGTCGCGTTATGTTGCAAAATCCGTACGGAGATCGCAGTTTTTCGTACAAAAGGCAAAGCGGAAAGCTTCATTGAGACTGAGGCGCAAAGTAGAATGTTACAACGAAATCCCGCAGTCGGAAGTTGTATGAACTCCAAATTAAAAAATACAACTGCATTGTTATGGACTACGAAACGTACTGCTTTAAATATCCAAAATATATTGCAGGTCAAGATTTGTATACTGTTGCAAGTCGTAAGCTGAAAATGAAGTCCAAATTTCCAAAAAACAACATGGTTTGGCAAGCTATTTGTTCCTGTGGCCGTAAGAGCAGCCCTTTTTCCCCATCCGGGACAATGAATGATCAAGTTTATCGGGATGCGTGCCTCAAAAAGCGTCTTCTGTCAGTTATCAACATATAAGGTAGTAGGCCACTGTTCTAGGCGGACATCGCAAGCTGCCACTATGCCAACGACACATTGCCGTGGTATAATTCAAATAACATCAATTTTGTACCTCACGACTGAAATCCACCCAATAGCCCAGAGCTACGTCTTATTGGGGAATATTGGTCAATTGTCAAAAGAATCTTGAAGAAAAAAAGGGGAAACAGTAAAAAATATTGAAGAGTGCAAAACAAAGTAGTTGTGCGCATCGCGTAAAGTCGATGATGCAGTCGTGCAAAACATGATAGCGCGTGTGCGATGAAAATACCGATCACTTGCATATGGAGCAAATAATAACTAATATTTTAACATTTTAATAACATATAAACTTCCAAGTTATATAATACAAAAAAATAATTTCAAAGCCTTCTAGTTTGTTTCTGGTAGTAATCTCTAAGTGTCGCAGTTTTGGTGTGTTCACCCTTTATTATTCAAAGGATTTTTTAAACGCTTGGGAAAAAGGTTCAAATTTGACACAGTGATTTATCGAAGATTTCGTACTATTTATATACGATATGAACGTTCTTACGTCACCACTGCCACTTCATCAAAATTTTGTGTATACAAGTAAAAAGGCCCAAGATAAAATAAAATTGATTTATCGAAGATTTCGTACTATTTATATACGATATGAACGTTCTTACAGTCCGATTTAAAAAAATTTCAGCCGTTAGGTATGTTTTACCAAGGCAAACAACTACTGGTGGAGCGGTTACCGAGATATACACATGTAACCATAAGTGGGCGTGGCTAAGCTCATTTTGCAAACATTTATAATATTCTTATTTTTTCCTGA